CTACCTGAAGGGAGGTTATAGCCAGGTGGGGGTTGGTCTCTTCTCCCAGGCAACCAACAATAGGACAAGGGGACATGGGCTCAAGCTCTGCCAGGGGAGGTTTAGGTTAGATGTTAGGAAGAAATTCTTTACAGAGAGGGTAATCAAGCATTGGAACGGCCTACCCAGAGAGGTGGTGGATTCACCATCCCTGGAGGTTTTTAAGCAGAGATTGGATGTGGCCCTTAGTGCCATGCTATAGTAATTGGAGTTGGACCAGGGGTTGGACTTGATGATCTTGGAGGTCTTTTCCAACCCAATCCATTCTATGATTCTATGATTCTATGATTCAGGGCAGAGCGGGGTCGCGCGTTCCGCCTCTCCCCTCAGCTGAGGGGGCTCTGGGGGCGTGGCCTCCTCGTCCCGCAGCAAGTCCCGCCCCCCTCCGCTCCAGCCAATGGCCGCGCACCGCCCTTATGGGCGGTGCGCGGCCATTGGCCGGAGAGGAGAGGGGCGGAGCGTAGCGTGGGCGCGCTGCCGGGTCGGCCCCCGCTGCCCTCAGAGCCCCCTCAGCCGGGGAGCGGTGAGGGGGAAGCTGGGCGGAGGGATATATCGCCAGTCATGGCGCTGCTGCTGGAACATGAGTTCAAGCCGCTGCCGGCTGACAAGCAGATCGAGACCTTGCCCTTCCTGGAGGCCGTGGCGCACCTGCCGCCGTTCTTCGGTGAGACCGGGTTGGGAGGTACGGGCTGGGATAGGCCTACTGCGAGCTCGGCTGCTCCGCGGTGCCCCCCTCCATAATCTTGGGTCGTGACCCCTCTGCCTGGTTCACAGCCCCCCCCCGAGGGGCTTACCCCGGGCTTGGCTGCTCTGCCTGGGACGGGGTTGCATCACGGTCCCGTCAAACCCGCCGAGCAGCGCCTTTGGGGCGCGTCCTGGAACACCCCATCCAGAGGCACTGCCCGGGGCAGGGGCTCTCCCATGCTAGCCATGGATCCCACCCGTGCAGGGACATGGGTGGGTGTCGGCGTGGCCACCCTCGTGTCCCGGCGTGCCCGCTGCCCTCCACAATGTCACCTATTGTGTGGCGGCTCCGTGGCAGCCCCGGAAGGGCAGGACATGGGGCTGCCGGGCTGGGGACGGGCCGTGTCCGGAGCCTGTCAGGCTGTTCCAGGACGTTCTGCCAGGGCTGTGTCCTGGAGCCGAGATGGGGGTTGGAGGTCGCTGCTGAGGCCGCAGTGGGTGGCAGGGCTGTCCAAAGGGCCAGTAACCCAAAGATGACGTCCCAGCCCCGCTGGCTTTGTGTCTCAGCACCCAGGCTGTTCTTAAGGTAAAACCTGTTGGTTAAGGGGACTTCGTGTGTCTCCTTGTGTCACCAACGTCTAAGCGTCTTCCCTCCACCTTTCCACAGATTGCCTGGGGACTCCCATCGTCTACTCGCCTGTCAAAGCAGACCTGACCGGAAATATCAAGGTAGGAAGGGGCTCAGGAGGGCTCCAGAGCGGGGGGGGGTCACCCCTGGGCAGGGATGCTGTGGGATTGGAGAGACAGAACCTGGAGGTGTTTCAAAGGGCTCTTCTTCCCACGGGGACTTCCAGGCTGAGCAGTGGCTCATTCAGTGTCATGTTTATTCCCGGGGCTCCTGCCCAGAGCCCCGTGAGCAGCCGCCGTGTTTCCCCACTCTGGTGCTGCCCTGCCCAGCAGCTCCCGGGAGCCAACCCCCTTCTCTGCCCTCAGAAAATCCGGGCCGTTTACGACTCCAACCCTGCCAAGTTCAAAACGCTGCAGAACATCCTGGAGGTGGAGAAGGAGCTGCACGGCTCAGCCTGGCCCAAGACGGGCGCGACGCTGGCGCTGATGTGGTTGAAAAGGTGACTCACGGTGTTGGGAGCTGCTCCCGGCCCTGTCCCAGCACGTGGGGAGCCTGTGAACATCAACTGGAGGCTGCGTAGGCCGGACTGCTCCCTTGGGCTGGGTCTGGCCATTTTGGGGAGCACAGCTGTTGGGAACTGCCTTCTCAAAGCTCCCCTGGGAATGCATGTGAAAACTCAGCCTCAGAGTATGAGGTCTCGGATTGTCCGGACAGGTCAGGACCCTGTGGTGCCAGAGGGCCCCAATGGGGCTGAACCTGGCCCTGCCCAGCTCAGCCCTTGGGCCCAGCCTCACCTTGGGATTCTATCCTGCCCTGCTCCCCATATCTCCCCCAGGGGCTCCCTCCTGCTCCAGTCCCCATGTCCTACCCCTCAGGGCTCCATCCTACACAGATCCCCACGTGCTTCCTCAGAGACCATCCTGTCCCTGTCCTTCCTAGAGGGCTCAGTCCTGCCCTTCTCTCTCCCCTGGATGCACCCACAGGGAAGGCACCAGCCCTGCAAGGGGAATGCACTGCTGAGACTGGGATTTTTGGGATGCTTGGACACACAGGGCTGGAAGCTGGGAAGCAGCACTCCCTTTCCCCACCTCAACATCTCTGCTCTTCCCCCAGGGGCCTGAAATTCATGCTGGTGTTGCTGCAGAGCATCTCCGACGGCGAGCGGGATGAGGAGCATCCCAACCTCATCCGAGTGAACGCCATGAAGGCTTATGAGATCGCACTGAAGAAATACCATGGCTGGATGCTGCAGAAGCTCTTCACGGTGAGCGCTCCCCCTGCTCCAAGCACCCAAATACCATCCCTGAGGTTGTTCCCATGTGCTAATGAGCGTCCACAGACCCCACGGCACAACCCAGCCCATGGTCTCTGTGTCATGGGTGTGTGGGAGTCTTAACACCTTCTCCCTGTTTTATAGGGCTCAGTCTATGCTCTTCCCTA